AGTAACTGAGTTAGAAACTAAGTTACTTTTAAAATGAAGTAACTACTAACAGAAACTAGTTACTGCTTTTCAGCAACTAGCACAACACTGTCTGTACACCCAGAACTAGAACCAAACATGGAGCAAGTTCCTATGCTTCAGTTATCTGGAACAAATGTCCAGAACACAGTAAATGTGCTAAAAGCTTGAGTTATTTTAAGTCAAAGTTTAAAACCTTTGTTTAGAACTGAGTTTGACTGTTAAAGTGTTAACTGAGGCATAATTTATTTAAGTTTGTGGTCCAACTGTTTAATTTGTTTTAATTATCTTTTAATCTCTACTTGCTTTTATTCTGCCAATATTTTCTCTTCTATTGCCTTGTCTTCACAATATTTAGCAGTTCATCAGCCTCCCAGATCTGTTTTTTTTTTTTGGATCTTCCATTACTCCATGTAACTTCCTAACATTCCCTGTCAAAATCTGTCTGATTTGGTGGTACTTATATCCATCAAGAGAACAAGAGCTGGGGAGAGAAGGCAAGTGGCCAGGGACTTACAACAATTTTTATTGTAATGTTGTATACACAAAGTGTATACAAATTGAAATTTCATTTAATACAATTTTTTCAGACAGTACATGAACATTTCCATTCCATAAAGTCCAGCAGTGATCAAATGTAAATAGTTTGGGAGAAAAAACATGGTGCAAAAACAAAGTTGATATGAAAGTTTAATTTTAGTTGAATATATAAGGTGCAAAATGCAGTATTTTTGGTTTGTTGTAATGCACAGTCTGTGACATGATTGAGATTTTTTTTTCAACAGTTCAGTAGTCAGATGGTGGTGCGGAAGAAACTGTTCCAGAATCTGCTGGACCTGCATCGCATGCTGCGAAGCCTCTTCATAGAGGGCAGCAGGAAGAACACTCCATGGTGGGAATGTGAGGGGACATTAATGATGTTATGTGCTCAGGATATGCAGCGCCAGAATGAAATGTCTTATATGGAGGGAAGAGGGGCCCTGACGATCCTCTCTGCTGTTTTTAACACTCTTCTCACAGTAATACAGCTGGTCAGAATGCTCTCTATGGTGCTAATGTAGAAGGTCTTGAGGATCGGTGGGGGCAGGTGGGCTGCCCTCGCCCTCCGCAGGAAGCGCTTTTGTACCCTTTTGACCAGTGAGGTGGCGTTTACAGTCCAGGTGAGGTTGTCTGTAATGTGCACCGCCAGGAATTTGGTACTGCTGACCACCTCTACAGCTGAGCTGTTGATGAGCAGTGGAGAGTAGTTAGGTCGTCCCAACGATGATCTCCTTTGTCTTCTCCATGTTCACAATACGGCTGTTATCTCTGCACCAGCCCACCAGATGCTCCATCTCCTCTATGTATTCCTGGTTGTTGTCGTCTCTGAGGACACACATGGATTCTCTCACCGAAATGTATTTCAGTGAGAGCCATATAATATATTTTAAGACTAAATGCAACTAAAAGTCAGTATAATAAGCCTCTGAATTTATTCTTTTAAAACATTTGTTATAATACTCAGCATTAATGTGACTACTGGTGCTGCATGGATTTGCAGAATGACACACATCTGTCGACTCATCCAAAGTCAGGGAAAAGAATGGCGCTGCCTTTATGTCCTTCATTTACTTTTCCTCCACTTGCTTTGCCGACATGATGATACGATTATGAACAGTTTTTGCCGTCAGAGGCTTGTGTTGTATCCATTAGATTTTCTTGTCTTTGTTCGAAAGATCATTAAAAAGTTCATTGGCTACATCCAGCATGATGGCTTTAGCATACTCGACATCTTTGAACGGTTCCTCACTACTGCTTATGATCCAGCAAAACTAGAACAATTTGAGGGGAATGTTGACCTAGAAGTTAGAGCAAGTACACTTGTGCTCTGAGAAGGTTGCAAGTACCCACTTTGATCCCCACATCCTTCACTCTGGGTTTCTGAGCAAAACCCTTAACCCAGGCATTCCCAAAGTCGGTCCTCAAGGCCCCCTGTCCTGCAGGTTTTATAGGTTTCTCTGCTTCAGCACAGCTGGTTATAATGATTGCAGTAGACCAAAAGCCTGTTAATCAGCTTTCAATTAAAATCAGCTGTGCTGGAGCAAGGAAACCTATAAAACCTGCAGGACAGAGGACCTTGAGGACCGACTTTGGGAATGCCTGCCTTAACCCCACACTGCTACCCTGGCACCACACAATGGAAGCCCACTGCTCCCCAAAGGAATGGGTCAAATGCAGAGAGTGAATTTCCCCATTGTGGCACAATAAAAGAATTTACAGAATTATAGTCGCCTTGCAGGGTCCATACATTGAGTTGCAGCTGACTAGCTGGCACCCTGCTCAAGCTCTTGGCACGCTTTCTCTGTGTGAAAGAATAGGCGAAAATAACACCTGAGGAATGCATGCGACTAATTTCTCCATCCAGGAGGCGTATTGAAGCTACATTTCAGTAAGTGTATTCAATACTTTTTCCCTGTGCCATTTCACTTTGTTACTCATTACTATAATTATGGACATCAATGGTTTGATTTCTTTGTACGTGTCGATTGCATGGATTGTTACCGACATCTGGTGAAAATGTCATGTAAAAAGCACCTCTAGAAATATATTTACTGAGAAAAATGATGGCACGTTCAATACCTTGTTTTCTTACTGAACAGACAGAATCACACTGCAGAGCTTCTAGATATCTTAAAAATCTGTTTCTCTGGCATCAGGTTAATAAATCTGTCCTTAAGCAGAGCACAAAAACACAAGTAGGGACAGCTGCTGATTTAGAAATGAAACAGATTTACTGATATATGCAACATACAATAAAATTTATCTTTTACAGTTATTAACCAGTAACTTTGGAGGGAAAAAAATGCTATATTGAAACCGGGAGATGTCCCCTGCACATTTTCAAAAGTCCGTTTTGGTCCCCTGGACTTTTTACTGTCCAAACACAATGTTACGCTACAGTACACCAAAACTGGTCAAGCACTAGGACCAAGTGGAAAATTGCAGCTCAAGTTGAAGCTTGCTTCCCTGAGTTCAGACTTCCAACAAGCTCCTGACTGGCCCTCTGTCTTTTCTTGTGTAATTGGCTGTCACTGCTGTAACTCCTGAGAAGTTCCAATTACAAACATCTGATTTTTGACATTTTTTTAAATTTTATTTTTTATTTGGTGTATGCATGAGTGTGTTTGGTTATTAGTTAGTTAGTATAGGTTTGTCAAGTTAAAATTATTATTTGTGCTACTTTTGTTTCTGTGGTATTAAATATTATTTTTAGGTAATCCAGAGCTCCCCTCATTAGTCTACTTTTTTTTAGGGGTACTTCAGTTCAGATTTTTGGTTAAAACTGTTGTTTGTGCTGCTTTGGTTTGTCAGCTGTAATAATTCTTTATTGTGGCCGATGACATCAAAATCCGAGCAGAAGGGTTGTAATATCAGATGTATTAATTTACACATATTTTTGAATTAGTGTATGCATGTGTGTGTTTGTGTGTTAGTTTGGTTATTAGACCCGCACCGAGGATGTCTAAAAAAAGAAACAGACATAAGAGAATTCTTTAAATGTCAAAGTGTTAGTCACATTCAAAGAACTGTGTAACGCCCTTCCTAAAACACCTTCATTGGCTCCATAAAGCAGCATATTCACTTCAAGATCCTCCTCCACATTATAAAGCTCTAATTAACCTTTTATATTCATCTTATTAAAGTGCTGATGAATAAAATGTATTATAGTTATATATTATTATTATCATCCCAGAAAGGGAAAATATCCAATCTCTAAATGTGAATTCATATACCTAAGCTCATAATAATTGTAAAACTATGTGTTTTTAATCTAAATGGATTATGCACCCCAAATTGTCCAATTGTTCATGTCATGCAAGGCAAGGCAGCTTTATTTGTATAGCACATTTCAGCAACAGGGCAATTCAAAGTGCTTTACATAAAATCAGTTTAAAAAAATTAATAAAACACAGAAGAAACAGATAAAAATTAAAAACAGAATAAAACACAAGAATAAAAATTACAGTGCAGTATAAAAGTAAAGAAATGAACGCCATTTAGAGAAAGGCAACACCAAAAAGAAAGGTCTTCAGCATTGATTTAAAAGAACTGAGAGTAGCAGCGGACCTGCATGTTTCTGGGAGTTTATTCCAGATGTTAGGACCATAGAAACGGAAAGCTGCTTCCCCCTGTTTAGTTCTGACCCTAGGAACAGAAAGTAGACCTGTCCCAGATGACCTTAGGGGGTCATAGTGTACTAACAGGTCAGAAATGTATTTAGGCCCTAAACCGTTTAGTGATTTATAAACTAGCAAAAGTACTTTGAAATCAATTCTTTGAGACACAGGAAGCCAGTGTAAGGACTTCAGAACTGGAGTGATGTGTAAGCAACAATATATTTTGTACGGACTCAAAATCAATATTTGATTTGACTGAATTACTATATATTTATTTTTTATTTATCATCACTTTTTTCAGTTTTGCATTTGAATTACTAGTATAGCTTTATAATTTTTTTCAATTGCAGGGTATGTAAACTTTCAAGAACAACTGTATAGGTGCCAAGGACAATTTGTTTTTAATGGACATTTAGAAGATTTTGGATTTGAAAATGTCCTCAGGTGGCAATTTATAGTCTGAAGGTTTTTTATGATATTCCATCCTTATTTAGCTAACAAGACAGAAATTAACAGGAAAAACGTTTTTAAAAAATATACATATTTCTTTATTCTTCTCCAGATTTCTCCTAACAATTAACACCACTAGTAAAATAAATGTAGATATTTGCTTAATTTATCCATACATTTGTATTTGCAATTTTTCAAACACTACATCACTGAATAACATGCCTCCATCTCACAGATGTGCTCAGTTGTCCATAGAGATTTCCCCAAGCAAACAAAGCCCTTTCACCCTCTCTGACTCCTCACCCCCCACCCCCAACCCCATCCATCTCGCCTGCTCATGCTCTCCCTCTCTCTCTCTCTGTTCTCCCTTCAATTTCACACCAATCAGAGTGCAGCATGTAGCTCCCACTCACTGGAATCAGAAACACAAGATATCTTTAGTCTTGAGCTGCACAATTTAGTAATAATAACACAGCATTGGCTAGACAGTCTTTTTTCAGCCAAACCTTTTATTTTTTGATAGGGTAGTGATATAAAAGGAGAAGAACAGGGGGAAGCTGATCTCTCAACCGCTAGACTCAAGGTAAATGGTTTGTATTAAATTATTCTTTGGCACTGTTATGTAATAATTTTTTCAAACTAAACTGACAATGATTGGGGCTATGTGGGTTATCATTTAGGCTTCACAAGCTTGATTACTTTTGTTTTATTTACATGCATGATTACAGGAAATGTGTTGTCTTTACTACTGATATTGAAAAAGTAATAAAGCTGCATGTGCAGAAAACATTGGTACTTTGTGATGAAGTTTTGTAAATCTACAGTACCTGTGCATGCAGCATGTCCACATTTCTGTATAAGAGGTTGTACATTTATATACAATGTTCTGTTACTACAATTAATCTTAAGATAACTTCCTCCTTCTCATGTAATGCTGACTAACCGAGGGGTTTTTCATTTAATAAATGACTGGCCCAGACTTACTCAAATGACAACTTGGGGCAATGTATACATTTTCATATCTCTTCTCAGAACTTAAATGGTTAAATAATTCTTGCCTCATTGGCTCCTGGGTCCCTAATATCTTAATAACACATACCATTTATTAATTGAAATAACATTGAATGCTACCTCTGTTGTTAAATATCTCTTTCAGCAAGGAGCCACGTTTCCAATCACAAAAGTACCTATTCTGATTAATTCAAACTAATAAAAAAAAACAAAAAAACGTTTCTGCCCTCTAAAGAACGTACCTGCCTTAAACTTTGAGTTTGGTGATACACTACTCACAAGTTAATGGTATGTATATACATTACCGAATTTTAAATCTTTACATTATGTCTAAACTCAAACCTCATTTTGATTTAATTATATTGCTTATTTTCTAATAAATGATAGTGGTGTAATTTAATACAATTTAGAAGGACCACATACTGAATAAACCATGTAAAAAATTCTAATATAAAAAGTTGATACTTAATAATTCCATGGGCTTTTGCTATTGCACATATAACATCAATATGCATTGTTTTCCTGAAACCCTAGTTAGCCTCAGCAGAAGGTCACTTACACTGATTCTGGTACTATTGGAGAGGTGTTCCTTTTAAAAGTAAGATTTTCCTTTCCACACTCATTGCATGCATGCTTGATGTGAGGGATTGCTGCAGAGTCAATAATAAAATGCAAGTAAATGTCACCACATGCTGATGGTGTCCTGCAAGTCAATGACTCGATGCAATCAGCTTGTTTTCCTTAGATGCAAAGTTTTTATCACTCTGACTCGGTGACTGGGCCGACTTTCAGCCTGATGGTGCGTCGTGTAGTGTACAGGGGGTTTCGAGCGGCGATCAGCCTCTCACGATCACCTCCCGATCAGAAATTGTGAGGTCGGGAGAATATCAAACATGTTGGATTTTCTCCTGACCATAGTGGGTAAATCGCTCAGGGCGCATGCGCAAAGAAGGATTGTTCTTTTTATTCTTTCTCTCAGATGTAAACACAGCAGAGTGGCAGGGATGCAATGAGTGAAATGCAGTTCTGTCTGTAAAATTGACAGAGCGTAGTAGCCACATTTGCTCAGCCATGTCTTTTTTTCCAAATATGTTGTCATCTTTTCTTTTTAGGACTTTCAGCACAAAATTGCACAAATTGACATGGCAGCGCAGTTCACTCTAGTGAGCTTAATATCCCCCTTCTATTTGTTTGGCTTCAGGATAGAGAGCTACAGAGCAGCTCCATCTCACTGCGGAGCTCAGTCCGACATGGTTTTTAGACGTACAGTGTGAGCAGGTAGATCGCATGAGAGCGTCGGGCCGAACATAAATCGTGAACTGTGAACTCACACTGTACGACTAAACCCTGCAGTTAATCGTACAGTGTGAGCAGCAGCTGCTTGCAACGAATGAAAAAAATTACACAGTGTACGCCCGGCTTTAGCTCACCCTTCATAGTCCTCAACTTAACTGGAAAGACAATAGAGTTGAGTCATGGAATAACCACCTACTGTCAAACTGTCTACAGTCGACCGCCTCTCCAGTCTTATATTCTAAGCTGCTAAATGCATTAGACCTCACTAAGACCTTGTATTTATTACAGAGCCCTTAACTACATCACTCTGAAAAATAAATATCAACTTCCTTATCTCTCAGCTGCTTTTGAACTGGTCCATGGTTCACATTTATTCAAGAAGTTGCATCTCTAAAACACCTACATTACCACCTCGGCAGAATTAGAGAAGGAGACAAATGGTATACTACAGTCAAGACCCTCCTAGGTAATTTTGAATATTTGGTAATGCCATTTGGTCTCACAAATGCAATTGCAGTTTTCCAGTCCCTTGCGAATGATGTTTCCTCCACGACCTTATCCAAAAGCAAGATCCATGTGCGTTAAGTTCTCCTACGTCTTCTAGATAACCAAATCTTTTTCAAAGCCGAGAAGTGTGAGTTTCAATGTCAATCATCTTTTAGGGACACATTTTGAGAGCAGGCATTTGAAGACAGATTCAAGCCATTCTCAAATAGCCTACTCCCGTGCAAGCAGCTACAACTTTTTTTTTAAGGTTTAGCATTTTCTACCGCATATTCATTACAAAATACACTCAAACTGCTCAAATTCCAAAAGAGCTTTTATTTAAGTGTCTCAAGCAGAACAAAAAAAAAAAAGATTTTAAAGAGTGGCACCACTCATTGGGGGCTGAATGTGCTGTTATTGTGTGGACTGTCCACAAGAACCTGGCCTATCTCCATGAAGCAAAACATCTGAAACCTAGACACTGGTCTCTGTTCTTTTCCCCTTTTAACTTGGTCATCATTTACCATCCAGACTCCTACAAACACCAAACCCAATGCTCTCTCTAGGCAATACTCCAGTTACCAGGCACTCAGTGTATCATTCAACTTTCCTGAGAACTGAGGGCATTATCATTGGGAATGAAAGATCTAGTCCTAAAGGCTCAGCAGTCTAAACCGGACCCTTTTATGTTCCTACTTCAAATAGGTCCCACCTCATTCACTGGGCACACAAGGCAAAATTCTCCTGCCATCCTGGAATAGACTGAACTCTTGTACTCCTTAGACAAAATTCTGGTGGTCTTGAATATGTAAGGTTGTTAGAAGCTGTGTTCTAACCTGTCCAGTGTGTGCCGGTAACAATAATATTCAGTTCTGGGCCCTTCTGCAATAACATCCAAGGAGGGTCTGATAAGGGGGAGGCCAAATCCAAAATAACACTTATTGCTTTGAGAGCAGGCTGCACAGGAATGTTCCATCAGCGTTCAGTCCTTTCTTGCTGGCTCCACATGGGGAATACAATATTCCACATTTGTTGGGCTTTTACACCTTGAACCGAGCTTGCACATCCAAGATACTATCCCATCTCATCTTTGAGTTAAATCACTGCAGCCAGCCAGCAAGTCTTCCAGGAGTCCACGGTGTATCCCACAAAGTATGTGCTGACAGGACAGGAAGGGTCCCCTTTTCTCTGTCTTCAAGTTGAGAAAATTTTATCAATTGCATTGAGAGACCAGCTGACCAGATCCATTGTTTAAATCCAGGTGATATGAAGAGAGGGCTCAGAAAAGCAAGACGCAGCAAGCGGGGACGGATCAGGGAGATATAGAGCAGCAGGAAAATGTGACCACCTCCTTCAAGAGACAGAACAGAAACCAAGCTTTATCACCTATGAACTGAGGTCTAAATCTTGATGTTTCCCTTGCATTAAAATTGCTATTTATAATTACATAGGAGTTGATACGCTTTGCAGAGGCAGACATATTTTGCGCTACACTAGTGCAGAGCTGACAAAGTACTGTACTATAGAGATCGCCATTATCCTCCAATGAGACTTTGTCAAGTTAAGTCTATATGCTATTCTACACAGACTAATAAAACACTATTAAATTATCTATTTAAATCTAAGTTGCTTTTTTATGAGCAGATTCACATCTTTCTCCTGCCCTCAGCCCATGTTTGATTTGGGCAGAGTGCCCCAAACAGGTGGACGATTCACATGGACAACAGAGGTAACGGGACACGGGGTATCAGTGTTAGGACACTGGGAGAGAGAGCTCCATAACCAGGATGAGTCGGCCAGCTATGCTGCCCCTCTGTGGCTAAGGAGCTGCAGGGGCAGAGGTGGCAACTTGCTGCTACTGGCTCAGGATGAGAGCTGAGGAGCACAGTGGTAGTGGTTCAATAAGCTTGGAGATGCCTGCCACATAACAGCGCTGATGGTCCAGAAAAGGCAACAGTTGGCCCTGGCTAGCCAGAGACTAACTACGCAGGATAGAAGCCATACAATGGAATATCAGAGTAGTCCGCTGAGCAGACAGAAGTCCGAATGCGGGATAATGTGGCTGAGGCTTACCTTGAGGAGGGCAGCATGCTATCAAAAGAGCCTGCCAGGGTGACGAAGTAGGAAGAGATGACAAGGCGCCAAGGCTAGGCTCTAGAGGCTAACTGCTGGAGATGGACAGAGGACCGCTGGGGATCAGAGGGCATAGTGATCAGCTGAGTGGATGAGAGAAGGCATCTGATCTGTGTCTGTGATGGAGGTATGATATGAAACAGTCTTTCTAAGGCTACATTAAAACTGCATTTGTAAAATTCACTCACAAACCACTTAAGAGCACTTCCCTTCTTTATCCTTTGTAAACATTATTTTCTGTTTTATTTAAAAAAGCTTGTGTCTGTGCCCTCCTTCACTGAAACAGTGGTCAATTCAAGATACTTTCCTATGTCCTAATTTGTATACTTGTCAATGTACTTGAAACAACAGTATTGAAGAATTTATCGACTTGATGCTTATTTGATGCTAAATAAACCTTGTCATAACTTGGCAATATAGGTAAATTGGACATTACAGAAGCAATTTTGTACCACAACAGCCTCCGTAATGTTGGAGGAGTCAGTCAGTGGGGGGAGGGGCCATTCATTTTACTGCAGTCGGCCATCTGACCGTTAGATGTCGCTGAAAATTACACATTCTAGCTTTAAGATTGATATAAACAGTTTGTGAGGTCCAAATAAAGAAGCAATAGTGGAGCTGTGATTTTGTTGTTGTGTTCTGAGACATTTGATTGGAAGAACTA